AAAAAAAAAAAAAAAAGGAGTACTTGTGACATTATCATAACACAACTACACTCCATCCACTTACATAGGATCTATGGCTACAGGGCTACAACAACAGAGTTAAGCAGTTGGGACAGAGACCATGTAGCTTGCAAACATTATCTGGCCTTTTAAAGAAAAGGGGTGCTGATTCCTGCTATAGTTCGATGGTTCTCAAAGCATTAAATCTGGGTTAGCAGTATTAGTATTACCTTGGAATGTTAGAAACACAAACTGGCTTATCCTAGAACTATCAAATCACAAACTTATTTATTACACTTACAAATGCAAGCACAGGTGAACACAACACCATGGCTGGCAAAGCTGTGAACTGAGTCAGCTCTGCGTGAGCCACACGACTGAAGTAAAAACTATGATGATATAATCCGACCTGAGAAGAATTAGGCCCAAAATACTAAAAATTAAGAGAAAGCGTATGTTAAATAGGGTTTTATTCCAATGTCACTAACAATGAATCCAGCCCTAACTGTTTGGCCTTGAGATATAACCATAATAGCACATGTATATAATTTATAAATAAGCAACAAACACACAGATAGGGGAGTGGTAATTTTTTATGCTACTGAGAATGATCAAAAAAGTAGGAAACCCTATAGCAAATTACAATACAAACTAGCCACTAGGATCATACTATATAGTATTTATATGTGAGATAGGAAAATTAAGTTTGCGAACTTGTCCTAGAAAAAGTGCTACAAAGTGTTAAATATAATCATATGCCAATAAAATATAGCTCTACTGTATAGACAAAAAACAAAAGACTCCTGGTTTTTCTCTGTTTAAAAAAAAAAAAGAAAAACTGCTATATACCTCATTGCTGAATATCACTATGGTCACTTTCAAAGTATTCCCCTTGGGAAGGTAAACACCAAAGCCAGCACCTTGTCCACCCTTCAAATCACTTTTTCATCCAAGAACTTAATTGTCAGACCTCATACTACAACAGCTCTGATAGCCATTCCTGAAAAAGAGTTCCAAAATTGTTTTGAAGAGTGGACTAGGGGCTGATGTTGGTGCACAGCTTCCCAAGAGGGGTACTTTGAAGGTAACTGTAGGATTATTTAGCAATGAGGTAGACAGCAATTTTCTAGGAAGAGTTCATCAACTTAACTCAGACCTCATGTTTTTTTTTCTGTCAGGCACTAATAATCTACAAAATCTTATTGAGAAGTTCTATTTATACAACCGACAAAGGTTTTAATGGAAAATAAGATCAAAATATTGAAAATATCTGAGAAGGCATGGACTTCTTTTTCTGAATGTATGTCAAATTTCTGTGTGAAGCAAAGGAAACACTGTGGAGATTTAGGAAACAATTCTTGAACTTGAAGACAAGTCTCTCTTTTAATGTAATGTGATCAGAAACTTGAAAAGTCTAGAAAAGAAAACAATCATGATTTTTAAGAACATCTTTGGGCCGGGCACAGTGGCTCACACCTGTAATCCTAGCACTCTGGGAGGCCAAGGCGGTGGATTGCCTGAGCTCAAGAGTTCCAGATCAAGCTTGGCGCCTGTGGCTCAAGCGGCTAAGGCACCAGCCACATACACCTAAGGTGGCGGGTTCAAATCCAGCCCGGACCCACCAAACAACAAT